ATATATAAAATTATCAATACAAATATTCTTTTATGTTGAAGAATACGAATTCTTTTGCAAAGTATATGCATGTGATCTTCCAAAATTTTGGGACACCACCTTCTCCAACGTACCAAGATTTTAAAAGTCAGGAAAGGGACTTTTCTGACTACCACTCCAACAACTTTTTTGCACGCGGGATATGGACGACTGAATTCAGCACCGAATTGCAAATTGCAGGATGGGACTGTAGTAACGGCGGGATACGAGCAGGCAATGATGTTTGCAATTTTTTATTTTGTTTATTTCATTTTTTTATTCCACCACAAAAGTCAACAAATATAGAGGCTCGATCAAATTTGAATTACAGAAAAGAGTACAAAAAATACTGGTATAAAACATGAAGTAGCTCAAAAATAAGAGAGACGCCTACATAAAAGTGGTGCAAAGCATATAACAGAAAAAGAGTTAACTTAAGAAAAGAAAGCATAGATGAGATAGTTGTACCCATAATTATTCTATTGCGATGGATCTAATGTAAAAATTTTAGAAGATGAATTTTTCATGAGATTTGATAGCTCTATATTTTATATGCATATGTTTTAAACCAAAAAGCTCTAGCGCAAGTGGCATGCTATGTCATTTTCAGGTTAGGCATCATATATTCGAGTATAGCCAATGGCATTCATTAAATCTTAATATTCACTAGTTATCTGTGTAAAATGTGATCTATAACTAACCTTGTGCCCTTCTTATCTATAATTAATCTCAAAGCTACATATATGTACAAAGCTCATGTCATACTTTCACTTGATTGATTATTTAGGATAAGTTAATTTTATTTTAAAAAAATATATGCAAATGTTTGAAGCCCGTAGTTGCATTAAAAAATCATGAGTGGCATTGAATAACATAACTTCTATGCAACATTCTACGTTGTATTTAATTCATTTGAAACATTTTAGTGCTAACAAAATTTTAAATCCCAACTTCGACATTTTATGAATATTTTGGAGTTCGAATTAAATATAGTAATTAACATAAAAGTTTTAGACAATTTAGTTATACATAGAATAAAAATTTTTGAAATTATGATAAGAAATGAACAAATTATGCCCAAAATACTAAAACATAGCTGGTTAGTCTGATTTTCAGAATTTGATTAGTTTGTTGATTATGATTACATAAGTTTAATTATAATAAATGCATTATTTAATAGTTTTATAGGTAAGCAAAAATTATTATTATTATTATTGTTGTTGTTGTTGATGAAGAAGAAGAATATCATTACCAATAGTGAATGAACAGATGTTTAAGAAGTAGACATGTGGATTAGGGTGACATGTGGCTTAAAGAGAGGATGGCATAAGTAGGTAGAGAGTTCCATGATAGGCTATGGAAAACTGTAAGAGTGTAGTAGGAAGTGAAAAAGAAAGCTTGGAGAAGAATTGGAGAGTTTAAGATGAAATTCTTGCCAAGTGTTCTTCACTTGGAGATAGGAAACTTTTGCCCTAATGCTGGAAAGATTGATTTCTTTATATTACATATGTTGTGTATTTGAATGCTTTCATATGATATGAATATATTTGATCATGGAGATGAAAAAAAATTCTTCAAAAAAATTCTTCATATTGCACCTACATAATTTATTATATCAAGTTTACAATGAACTATGATAAGATGATACATGGACATATAAAACTCAACATTTAACTATGATTACCTCTTATGAAACATATGAATACATAAACATGAGACTTAAAAAAGTTTCATTAGTTTACATGATCCTTGACATATGGTAAGCATGTAACATAAATTCACGACGTGAGCAAACATGATGTTTTACATGTGATGCATATGAGTTTATAAGAATATACAATGCAACATAAGTCATTTCTATTGAGCATGGAACCTTCCAAGCGATGTTATATGATCTTACATAAAGCAATGCATATTCTACAAGTAGATATATGAAGTTATGTTGATGTTCAATATTGTATATGAGATGATAATGACCATGATAATTTTTATATGATGAATGTGTGTCAAAATTATGAAATACCTATATGAATGATGGCTCATGAACATGAGAGAATGTTATGTATATTATGACTACAAAAAATGTAAAGGTTGAATTTGATAAATATAAATGATCAATAGTTTGGCAAAGCAATGATTGTTCGCAAGGTGGGTAAGCAGAGAGGCATGTCTTAAATGATTGTAAGAGAGAGCAGATTGTTGGCTGCATGATTCCGTGTAAACGGCAACGAGTGAATGGTACCACAAAGGTGAGTATTAAATTGATGTAATGATAGCTAATGAGCCAGCCAATTGGTTTTATTGAAAATCATGATGGTTGACAACCAGGGTGATGATCCAGGGATACATTATTATTATACTACTATGGTTACTACATTAAATGAAATAATCATGCCCATACTTATATGGCATGAAAGTGAATGTATAAGCATATGATTGAATAATATGAATTACAGACCATAAGAATTGTAACATCACATTCATGCATATGGTTCTCTTTTCATTGGAAAAGAATTCTATGTTCAGTATAAAATATCCTATTAAGCTTTATGTTAACTTGGCCATACGCATCATGTTGTTTCAAAAAAGAACAACAAGAAGTTGCAAGAATGTTCTAATGCTATTTTGGCCTTATTGATACATATAAGTTTTGTTGCAACATTTTGATAAAATATGTATGTATATATGCTAACAAGATTGATAATGTCTAATAACTTCTTATTCTAAACCATAATGTTTATGAATGAAAGCGAGATGTCATGTTACTTTTTACCTCAATATGTGATCCACAAGTCGCCTAACTGAAATTGATGATAATTATAGAAGGATGAAATTTTGTGATAAAATTGATCTAGCATGTCTTGAACTATTTGCTCATTCGCAAGGTCATACTAATAAATTAAGAATGTTGAAATTATCCGAATAGGTCATCCTGAAAGGCTAGCTTAAAAAAAATCAAAGTGAGGAAAGAGGAGGGAGAACGAATTCATGAGACTTCGCATACGCACAAATATATTTTCAAAATACCAAAGTGCCCTCTTGGAAAGCTTCCCCTTATCAATTTATGTCTAAAGAAAAATAAAGTTGATGATATGACAAAATTGATTGCATTTGGTGAGTTAAAATGGCTTATGGGTCTGTGATAGAAAATTGATATTCAGCCAAAAAATAGCAATAACGAAGAGAAAACGCAGCACAAATCAGCGATAAAGAATGAGATTGAATTAAGTCCTGAGGTAAATTTTCAGAAGGCATATTGGATTGTTAATAAGACACTACCAAGAGATTTCGCCCTCATTTTGCCAGGACTTTATGATCTGAGTTATAGTTTCTTATAGGTGCAAGACTCTATATTAATTACTCCTCCCGGTAATGAGAGAGAACTTTTGATTAAGGTTAGTCGTCAATCATATATGTAATATATATCTTGCATATAATAGCAGTGTGTTGGATGTTTGAAATTTTAATATTTAAAATTAGAAATGCACCATCTTGCACTTAAAGCGGATGGTGGGGGGAATGATGATGAACTGAATCAAGATCCTATGGTTATGTCGTCCCAGGTCATCATCGTCCCAAGTTTACTTAGTCATAGGAGGTAGTCGACCAAACCTAACAAAAGGATCCTTGTCGGCAACCATGGGTTATTTCCTCCATTGGTACCTTGTAAACCTGGGATGAGTATTTGTCTAAGGGGGCAAATGTGAATCCACGTTAGCTAACTAAGGGCTTTGTGCCCTATTGATTCATATCTCAAGGATTGAAAACATTGGAGAACATGCGATGCCCTTGTTGTGGATAATTAATGTCGTCTTGGTTTGAAACTCTAACATCCTTTTCATCATCTTTTCCAGATTCAAAAATCTGCCCTCAATTGTTGAAATTTTCTCTCCAAATTCAGGTTTCAAATTTCCAAATTCTTCATCAAGCCTCTCCTCCAATGTATCAACCTTCTTAGCTATCATAGTTCCCAAAAAAGGTGCTCTAATACCAATTTTATAGGAATCTAATCTCCACACAGCAAAAAAAAAAGTAATACCGAAGAAAAAATGCAACAAAAATCAAAAAGAAAGAATGAGATTATGGGCTAATTTTATTGATATTGGCACAACAAACCAAAAAAACAAGTTAATCTACTATTCGAGAGGTAGATCGACTCTCCACAAATCCTATGAGCCACTAGGAACAACGAAGAAAATTACTGCAAAACCCAAAATCACATAATGAAAATAAAACGACGTAATTAATCCTAAATAAACCTTCTTAATTCTTTCCCAAATCTGAATTGAAATCCGTCCTCTTTTATTAAATAAACCTTCATAATTCTCTACCAAATCTAAATTCAAATCAATCCTCTTTCCCTAAATAAATCTTCCTAATTCTCTCCCAAATATGAATTCAAATCAGATATTTTTCTAATTCTCTCATTTTTTGTTTTCTATGGTAAGTAATTAAAAGTAGAATTAATCCCCTTTGAACCTCACTCTCTCCTTCCCAGCCACCCACACTAGTGGGGCCCACAGGGCTCTTCTGCCCGCCGGCTAGACCGCCCCCCTTCCTAGGGCTGGGTTGATTGGCTAGACTGGCTCAGCCGGCCTATCAGTCTATTTAAGGCAACTTTTTTATCTACTTATTTTTTAGACAACTTCAACCATTCTATTTGGCTGCAATTTTTTAGTTGATTTTAAAATTTTATGTGATGAGAAGCGGCTTTTTATAACAAGATGTGTTAGAGTGTGACAGTAGCAAGAAAGCTGTTTCCTGACTTCTTCAAAAGCAAAAAAAAAAATCATAACTTTAAAAGTCTAAGGACCATTTTGGTTATTTACTTGATAAAAATATGTTCTGCAATTAATAATAAAACTTGTAGCACTTGATTGATTTCATTACTCTGGTAAACATCTCAATCATATCATAAAAAGAAAAACATTATGGTGATCTATGTGAGCGTTTATATGCTCGTTAAATTTATTTTCACTCACCAAATTCTTAGTTGAAATGTTGCTCATACATGGATCTTCACGTATGTACTCTTCCATTGTAGCTTGGAATGATGGAGGTGGCTGCAAAGAATATGGAAAACTGTGAATAAATTATATAGATGACATATCTTACAACTTTAAAAAGATAACCAAGAAATTAATGAATGACACCTGTCTTAGAGTCGGAAACTGAAAATTTCTAGCGAGTTCCAAATGTTTACACAAGTCATAGAAATCAGAAAGATTTTCTGCCTGTTAAAGAGTTGAATAGCCGATAAATACTCTTTATAAAATTTAGTAAAAAGCAAACACCAAACCAAAAATTTTCCAATGAAATAGTTTTTAACTCTAGAAGCAATAATTTTCACCTGTTTACCAGCTCTTTTATATACCTCTAGCGCTTTAATGGCATCATATTTTGGCATCTCAAAGAACTGCATAAATTTGGAAGTACTAGTAGCAGAAGAAAGGGCTAATTTTCAATGCAAATCAAAAAGCGCATAGCAAATTATGCAAATAAACTACTATACCATATCAACAAGATTGATGATCCCGTCATTAACTGCACAATAAATTTTGAAACTCTCCTTTATAACCTAAGAAATCAATACAAAATGAAATAAGCTTTCACCGCAGACAAATCAAATTGCAGCTCTCAAAACCGAATAGTAATATCCAAATAAACTTAGAAAACTCCTATAACAAGTTTGGATGATAAGGAAACTATCAAATCTTGTCACCTACAACAACAATAACAACATCAAGTCTTAATCCCACTACATTGTGTTGGCTACATGACTCATTTTTCTCTCCATTGTGTCCTGTTAAGACTCAAATTCTCATTTAAACCTAATAAAAAAAATTTTCTAATATTTTCTAATCGATACTATTTAAATCTACCTCTACCTTTCTTAACATTGGTCAAAATTGATACATCTACTCTCCAAACCGCGTCTTTAAACGGTCAACATTTTATGTGATCAAACCATCTAAGATGACTCACTCTGATCTTATCTGCTAATGGAGCTACTCCAACCTTTTCACATATATACTCATTTCACATTTTGTCTCTAAGAGTAAAGTCACTCATGGACTGGAGCATCCTCCTCTCTACAATACTTAACTTAATTTTATGCTTCTCTTTTAATGGCCAACATTCTGCACCATAAAGCATTGCAAGTCTCACCACCATCTTCTAGAATTTTTCCTTTAAGTTTAAGAGGTACTTTTCTATCACACAACATGCCCGATGCGTTCCTCCACTTCAAGCATCCAACTTGGATTCTACTAATAATATCTCCATCTATTTCACCATCCCTTTGAACAAAGTCACAATCCCCCAACTAGATCTGTTACTACAAAAATTAAAATTCCTATATTTGGTTTTAAATCTACTCAAAAGAAAACCTTTAGACTCTAAGTTGACCTCCATAATTCAATTTTTTCTTCGACTAAAAAAAAAGAAATCTTACATGTAATAAGTTAAATGAAAAGCATCAAAACGCCTTCACAAATAATAAAATGATGTCTTAACCAAATGTAATCTAACATGTTGAACCATTAAAAAAAACTATTTGACATGTGTGAAACTTTAAAATATCACTATTTTATCATAATCTATGTCTTTTGTTTCATAAATTCCTGTTTAATTGTTGTTATTTATGTTTTTTTATGTTTACGGCTTGATTGGTTGCTAGAAGCTAACAACATCAAGCACTTGTCCCACTACGTAAGGTCAGCTAAATGAATCATTTTTTTCATTGTGTCCTGTTAAGAGTTAAATTCTCATTTAAATATAATAAAGAAATATCATTTCTAAATTCTAATATTTTCTAACCAAATCTTTTTAAGTCTATCTCTACGTCTCTTTACCTCTCTTAACATAGGCCAAATCTAATACATCTACTCTCCTAATCGGATCATTAGTAGGCTGGCATTTTATGTGACCCAACCATCTAAGACGACTCTCTAATATTATCTTCCACTAGAGCTACTCCAACCTCTTCATGTATATGCTCGTTTCGCATCCTATCGACTAACTAATGTAACCCTTCATTCTTCTCATCTAGGGCTTGGGACCTAGCAACGGCAATGTTTGCAAAATTGATAGTTAATATTGAAAAATGAATTAGAAGCATTAACTTCCGAATATTAAAAAAAAAAAACAGGAATAAGGGATAGTAGAGTATAAAGCATACCAATGCCAATGCATATTGTATAAGATTGTTTCCAGATGCTGATCCTTCTGGCTATAAAACAATCAAGATGGATTTAGTTGGATGAAGATATTAGTATAGTTAATAATGCGCAATGGTTAATTCCCTTTTCTACGTTAGATTAGTTGTTATGCTATCTTTTCACAGCATAAATCCCTACCTGGCATCCTACAAGCCGATGCAATAGCTGTTGTAAGGCGGGCATTTGCTCTAGCAGATCTGGACAAGATAAAGTTCTAGTTCTAGTATGTCCCTACAAAGTTTCCAACATTGGGATTGAAACCAAGTTGAAAGTAGAACACATCATGTCAAAAAAAAAATTTAACTTATGAGATACGTGTGTGTGTGTAGATGTTACCTTGGCAGAACCTTGTGCATTTTTCATCAAACGCTCTGCCTCGATGTCATATTTTAAAACTCCAAAGCATTCAAGTCTTTCTTCTAAAAAGAGTGCATATGTACGAACCCATGCAGAGCAATCCCAAGCTAGAAGAGAAAAAAAATTAAGGAATTTCAAAGAAATTAAAAATACAATTATTATGAAGCTATTCTGTCAATAAATAGTGAAATATTTGCACATTGTTATCCAAAATAGTTTTTCTCTTTATGCTAAAACATGAGTAATAAGTCCTCGTATTCTTAATTAATGCCCAGCTTGAAATTCAAATTTTATAGAAAAAAAATGTTTTTAAAACATACACAAAACAAAAATGAAGAGAACTCCCTAAGACAATTGAACCATTTTAACGCAAAAGTTTAACTAAATCTTCTTCTTTTTTCAAAGAAAAGTTGATAGATTATAATTTTTTACACCATAGTTTATTTTATTGATAAACCTGTTCAAAGTAAATACTGTCTAATCTATCTAATTTATTTTACTATGCTTTGATTTGCAATAAATAAAACAGCTCCTATGGGCAAGCAATTTCTTTGTAATTTGACAACAATTATCGCTTTCTGTACAATATTCAATAAAAATTTATACCAAAAGGACTCGAGTCATCCTTGAAATTGGAAATTTGTAAAATTTGTCCCTTGTGCGAATAGTTCAAGAGCTCCTCTTTAAATGTAGGATCACCTTCTCGCAAAATTCTGTGAATCACTATCAATGTTTTAACTGCAACCTGTGAAATTTCATCAAAATTACTTAATTAATAGAATGAAATGTGCAGAGATATAAAGTAGCCATATTAAATGCAAATTTCTGTGCAGAACTAGAGTTTTTATTACCTTTTACAAAAAAGTAATAGTTTTTTTTTTCCGTTATGTTAAATAGTGAACATGGTTATTCCACTTCGCCATTATAGTTAATTAATTGATGAATGCAAGACCTGATCTAATATCAATAAATAGGAAAATGAACTATGCAGACTAGAAGTTAAAAACAAATAAAAAATCAATTTCGACTTCATAGTTGAACACAAACCATATTAATTATCTTATATTTCTTATAGAAATGTTAGATTATTCATTAAAAAAGTTTTGGCGCATTTATTATCATTATTAAACTTATTTTCCTATTAATTTTTTCAACTCTAATCAAGTATTTTTTGCATATCTACATTAATTATTCTTTTTGTTCGGGGGTATAAACCAAAAAAAGATAAAAGCTAGGTTATATCATTTTTGTTAATAACAAATAGCACATCATGACACGAAAATTTCATGAAGCAACAAGGCATAGTTCATAGTGTGGCATTTGCTATTTTAAAAATATAATAAGTATTTTATTAGATTATATAGCTACTTAATGTTATCTAATCATTTAATTTAGGCTTACTTAAATTATAGCATACGGTGATCATCGCCCAAGCTTCAAGATCATGTTTATAATTCAATTCATATTTGATTTTTCAAAATGGTGGTTTACTTGATTCAAAATTAATTAATTAACATTTATTTTTTCAAAATGATAGCTACCAAAGTCAAGCTTTATTAAATTCAAGATTACCATCTACCATATCTAAGAACTTTATAAAAATATGGTTGTATTTTGTTGAAGCATTCCATAGCAAGAAGCAACAAAGAAAAGGAGAGAGAAAAATAGGGGAGAAAGTTTTCAACCAAGAAAGAAAGGTAGATATTTTTTTTGAGTGTTTTCAAGTGGAGTTCTTCGGCTTTTTCAAGAAGAAAGAAGTGTTGCTATTTTTTGTTTTACCAGGTGAAAAAATTATGGTCATGGCAAAGAAAAGTTCTTATTAATTTGAATTTTTGCAATAGAGAGAAAGAGACTAGGGCTGCAAACAAGCCAAGCTTTCGACATGCTACTCACGGCTCGACTCAATTAAAGTTCGTTCGTGATCATTTAATTAAGCAAATAAGCTTGAACATGTTTTAAAATTTTAGAAGCTTAAATAAACAAACTTAAACAACTGTGTTCTACTCATTTATGTTCATGAGCAACATTGTTTAAAGCTCGTGACAAGCTCAACATAAAGCTCGATTTTTGTTCGATACAAAGCATGTGAATAAGCTTATCAAAAACTAGATTAATGTTTGATTATAAAAATGATGAACATACTTAATATAAATATTTATATTTATAATAATTGAATGATATAATAATTATTAATTAATTAATATTATAGTATATATTAATTAAAATATATTATTAATATCTACTAAATTAATGTTACATATAATTTAATTACAATTCTTTTTATTTTATAATATTATTGAGTTATATTTTACGGGCTCTTTTGATAGCTTGAAAACACTCGTTAGATATATTCGTAAATGGACTTGCTTGATAGTTATGTTCGCGAATAGGTTCGTTTAGTACCTTGAAAACACTCGCTAGAAATGCTCATGAACATGCAGTTAGATATGCTCAAAAGCAAGCTCAATGTATTGTTTGTTAGCAAGCTCAATAAGGATTGTTTGTTAAGTTAATGAACATCTTGAAGTAGGGCTTGATAAAGCTCATTTGTTTAAAGTTTGATAAGCATGTAGGGCTGCAAGCAAAGCAAACGTTCGACGAGCTACTCGTTGTTCGGTTCAATTAAAGCTCATTTGTGATCATTTAATTAACTAAACAAACAAACTTGAACAACATTTTTAATACTCGATCCTTAAATAAACAAGCTTGAACACTAATGTGTTCGGTTCATTTATGTTCACGAACAACATCATTTGAAGCTCGTGAACAAGCTCGATTCGTGTTCAATTTAGAACTCGTGTATAAGCTCGATAAATTTATTCATATAGATTAAGCATATTTTCATTTTAAATAGACAATTGTTTTTATTATAAATTTAATTTCATTTTATTTTATACCTTCAATTGAATGAATTTGTTCATAAACAAGAGACATTTCACATTTGTCAATGTTAGCTAGATTGTTTGTTTAAGATGTTCATGAACAAATATAAAATGAATCATATTTCGCTTGTATTTGGTAGCTCAAAAATACTAGTTATGCATTTATTCATGATCTTGCTCATTTGATAACTCAAGAATACTCATTAGAATTGTTCATGAATGTGCTTGTTTGAGACTGTAAAAAAATCGCTAAATATGTTCACGAATATAGCTCGTTAAGGCTTGTTTGTTTAGAGATCAATAAGAACTAAACGAACCGAACATGAACAAAAAATGAGCACCATTAATTTAAACAAACCAAACATGAACACAAACAATGAAGCTCAAATCAAACACGAACCGAACTTGAACAAACTAATAATAAACGAACTTAAACATGAACACTCACATACACGTCTTGGTTCGGTTTGTTTGCAACCCTATAAGCACGAAACGAACTAAATATGAACCAACATGAGCATCCATTAATTTAAACGAACCAAGCATCAACACGATAAAAAAAAACTCGAATCAAGCTTGAACAAGTTAATAATAAATGAACTCAACGATGAACAAGCACATGCTCAACTCAACTAGATTCGAGTATAGCCTTAAAAGAGAGTGCTTAGAGTAACTTCATCATCTCCTTCTTTGTTGTCTTCACATTACATGAGTGCATTTTCTCACAATTAAATAAAGTGATATCTTTATTCATATCTCTAACTTTGTATGAAGTGTAATCCTTTGTGTACTCTCTTAGAAGTTTGGAGGATTACTAGATCTTTGAGAGATTGTGGATGTAGGCCTCCTAAATCTAAATCATATAAATTTTGGTGTTTCCTTTTGTGATGCTTGATCTCTTTGTAGTTTTTTTATGGTCATCGTAATCTATCCTTTGTTGAGATGCACTCTTTTTCTTAAATAATTAGTATAAGAGCAAAGTTATGAGAAGTATGGTGGCTATAAGTTCAAGATTGAGAAGATTGATGGCTCAAAGAGTTTCACTTTTTGAATAACCAAAATTTGTGATGTACTTGTCAAGTAAAGACTTATAAAAGCTCTTATAAGACACAGCCAGATGCTTAAAATTATGAGAGAAGAAGATAGGGCAGAGATGAATGGGAAAGCTCCCTCGGCGGTTTAGTTATGTTTGGTGGATGAGGCTTGTTAGAGATCTTAGAGGAAACAATTGCAAAAGATTTATGGCTCAAGTTGGAGTCTTTATACATGACCTAAAGCCTCTCCAATAATTTTATTAAAGGTTGAGACTTTATTTATTCTCATCCAAGAAGGGATGTCTATTAAGGTTTCGTTTGGGACAGCAATCTTATTACTTTCTAAAATAGCTTTTTAATACAAAATTTTCTCATTCAAGAAATTTTCGTACTAAAAAGATGCTTTAGAAAGAAGTAAGAAAGCTACCCAAATAAAGCCTAAATCACATTGAATGAGTTTAATTCATAATTTGAGAAATATTAACACAATGTACGTATTAAATAATAAATGTCATTATTGTTCAACAAGTTTTATGGTAGCTCTTGACTATCTAATGCAACCCTCCATTTTTCTCATCTAGGACTTGTCAATGACGGTGTAGCTTCAGTGGTATATAAGATTCGAGAGAATCACCATAGATGGTGTGGACACATAAAATGTTGGCCTTCTTATAACCCGATTAGGATAGTATATGCATTAGATCTGACTTATACTAAGAAAGATAGAGGTAGATCTAAAAAGTCTTAGTAAGAAAGTATTAGAAATGATCTTTTTTTATTATATTTAAATAAGAATTTGACTCTTAATATGACACAATGGAGAAAAAATGATTCATGTAGTCAACCCCATGTAGTGGGATAAAGGCTTGATATTATTGTTGGGATTTAAGAAATATTAATTTGATTATTGAGGATGAAGATTAAGCTTTATTATTATTGTGCTCTTTATCTTCCTCTTACAAGCACTTTCGATATATCATGTTATATGGATGTGATATAATAAACTCCGAGGATGTCAAAATTTCACTTTTTTCAAAAGAAAAAACTTTTAAGCTCAGGAAAGATGAAAAAGCAGCTGAAGGTTTCATGGAGATTAGAGGAAGATCTTATGAGCAAGGGTTCTTTTAATCATGGAATAAGTAATTTCAAAATAAATTTAAGAGATCACTTGCTTCTATAATAAAAAGAATGAGAATAAAAAGAAGATATATTTTAATTCGAAGAAGAGAACAAAAAGCAGATAACGACCACATAACGGATAAGTCAATCGGTGCAACTATTATTGCATATTTTTCAAGTTATGAAATTGGTGATGCTCTTTTAGTTACTCAATATAACAAGTGTAAAGAACAGTGAATTTTGGACTTAGCTTGTTCTCATTTAGATATATTTCCATATATAAGCCAAGTTTTAGTGGATGTGTTTATATGTGAAATGAAGCTATATATAATATTGGAGGTTCTAGCACTATAAAGTTAAACGCACATGATGGTGTAATTATATCATTAACGAAAGTCAGATATGTATTAGATTTGAAGATGAATCTAATATCTTTAATTATTCTTATATTGTACGATATATATTTTTTTGTGATGCTAATGCCCTTAAGATCTATAAGAGTGCATTGAGTGGCTTGAAGTCAAATAGAGTTAGTAGACTCTGTGTTATAGAATACAATTTCACATGTGATGTTTTGGATTCAACAACTATGGTTGTAGCTACAAAGTAAGAATAATACAAAGTATATGACATCAAGTATTAGAAAAATGAGAGCTACTGTGAATTCTGTTGTTGATGATTCTAGAAGAGCAGTGAAAAATATTTTTTTTGTCAAGGAGCCTCTAAAGGACAAATGGGCATTACGTGATAGATAAATAGTCAAAATAAAAGAGAAACATAGTAATAAGGCAAAGTTTGATAAATTTGCTACTAACGGACTGAGGCATTGCAATGCCTTAGTTAACCTTCAGACTGATGACAGGGAGATGTCACTCAGAGAAGTGTTCAAACATCATTAAGCTAGGCATTAGAAATTCAAACTCCAAATAGGATATTGTAAAATATGGAGTTCAATTTCATTAGCTATCTTAGATTAGATTTGATATTGATTTTTCAAGATTGATGACTATCAGCTTAAGATTTATTCACATATTTTTCAAGGTGATGGCCATGTAACTCATTTCATATTTAATTTTTTTAAGGTGGTGACTAACCTAATTCAAAATTAATTCATTGATACTTATATTTTCAAGATAATGGCTACTAAAGTTCAAGTTTTCTACCAATATGTCTAAGCCCTATATAAAGAGATGGTTGTATTGCGTTGAAGCATTCCACAACAAGAAGAAATAAAAAAAGGAGAGACAGAGAAAGAGAGGTGTCATCTGAGAAAGAAAGAGTTTTTTTTTTTTTAGGTGCTTGCAAGTGAAGTTCTTCAGCTCCTAAAGGAAAAACCGAAGAAGTCATGTTATATTTGGTTCTAGAATAAGAAAAAGTTATTGGGCATAGCAATGAATAATTTTTATTTGAATTCTTGCAGTAGAGGGGAAGAGAGTGACTGAAGCATTAATAATATCATCTCCTTCTCTACTAGCCCTCCTCATCTTTCTAACAGGTTATTGCATTTTGTCTCAATTAACAAAAATCATATCTTCGTCCATATCTCAAGCTTTATATGAGTGAAATTCTTTGCTTACTCTTTTTGACATTTTGTAGATGATTCGATCTCTATCGACTATGGATGTTGGTCTACTTAAGTCGAATTACGTAAAATGGTGCCCTTTGGTGGTGATTGAACTATTTTACAGTCGATTTGTGGTTCATTGTACTTGTCCTTGGTTTGAAACACTCTCTTTCCCAACATCAACTTCCAACCTTAAGTAGTCCTTTTGATGCAAAGCAATAAATAGATTAGGATTTATTTAAATTAATCTAGCGTTAATATAATTTTTTGTTTTGTGTGGTTCCTAATATAAAAACCCAAGGATCCTATCTAAAAAAAGAGTTCATGTGCTAGAATTTTGATGATTGCCATTGAATATGAAATGAAATTCTAAATTACTCCAAATCCTATCCGACTTCCATACCTTTTATCCCTTCTTAATCCTCTCTCTCTCTGAGGGAATCTTCCTCTAAATTGGCCAAAGAATTTGCATCCCCATTTTTTAATCTTATAAGTTTACGCAACCTTAGTACCAGTCCACTAACCTGAACCTCTTACATTTCCTAAATTAAGTATTAATGGCCCTTCCTGAGGTGAAAACGCCTCAGGTTGGTGCTGACCTCTTATTTCAAGTCCATTGATGTCCAATACGTCGCTTCAAGCAAAGAGGGGTTTAACCAACAAACATAACTAGCATCAAGGTAAATCCAGCAAGCAGCAATCGTAATAAAAGGAAACATGCATTCAGAACTTCTAACCAGTTGTAAGTTTACTTTGCAAAACTTCAATAAAAAAGGATAAAATCAATTACAATATGTTATACAAAGGCAATACTTGCATTCATGGTTAACCATATCAAAAGGATAAAACATTAAAATGTTCACTGCAGAACAAATTAGAACATACCACCCAATTTCGTGTCTTTGCTAGCCTCTTTGCAAGTGCATATATGCAATAGGCAATGTCAGCCCGTGGTCGAGCAACAGATGTAGCTATAAATATTTCTGAAATTCATAACATTGAAAAATACGATAAAAAGATAATAACAGAAACTTCAAAAACCTAAACAGGAATGGCGAAAATCCTAAGAAAAAAAGACGAATAAGATAGGGAAACCAAATCAGGTTTCGGAGAAACCAGAGCTCACTCACTTCTAACGTGTCTTTCCTTTGGTGGGCATTCTTCGTGATTCGTCGCCTTCACAATGGCAATATCCACTTCCTTCATCATATTCAACAATTCCAAACATCAAAAAAAAAAAAGGAAACTAAACCAAATGCGAAAAATTTGATTCATTCCTGAAATCATATATACTAGCCTTAAATTCACTACTGACTTTTGCCAGGCCAACCATTGTAGAATCCTTAAGGGCGCCATAAGCCCTCCTCCATGTTCCCATTTCCTCTTCTCCCCCCCTATATATCCCTCTATCTATCAATCCAATGCGAATAGTTCTCTCAATCCTCGAGAGGTGAGAACATGGAGAGAGAAAGGATGGGAAGAAGGAGATCGCGCTCCCCTTCTCTCCCTCTCTATACAGCCGCGAGTTTCGTTTCTCCTCAACCACCTTCTCCTACGTCCGTTCCCTCTTTGCTGTCAGGAAAACGCCGGTTGAATAGTTATTTGCGCAGAGAGCGAAGCCTTCCTCTCATCCTACGTTCACTCTCTAATTTCAAATATGTTACATTATATTTTATTCTAAGGAACTCATACTTCAGCCGCGAGTTTCGTTTCTCCTCAACCACCTTCTCCTACGTCCGTTCCCTCTTTGCTGTCAGGAAAACGCCGGTTGAATAGTTATTTGCGCAGAGAGCGAAGCCTTCCTCTCATCCTACGTTCACTCTCTAATTTCAAATATGTTACATTATATTTTATTCTAAGGAACTCATACTTATATATATATATATATATATATATATATATA